CCCCCCTCCCCCCTAGGCGATTAAGTAATGGGATGATTTCGGTAAGGGCATTAGGCAGTGAGCTGTGGGCGCAGTCGGCCTGACCTAACGGAAGGCGCTCGGCTTTTCCACCGCCGCTGCGGAGCCACCGCGGGGGACGGCTCCGGCCACCTGGAAAGAGAAATTAAAGGGCGCGATTTGCTTGGGGCGAAGTGGGGGGACGGCGGCGGCGCGGACCGCACCAGCCTGAGCCGAGGTCCGGCCGCAGCCTCCCCTCGGGGCGGCCAAGCCGCTCCGTCCTGCCCGCCCTCTGAGAACCACCCTTCGTAAAACCTCGTCCCCGTATCCAAAAGGCGATTTAACCGTAGAAAGTTTCAACTTTTCTGGAAAGCTAAGGTAGTGCGGTCATAATTGTACCTTATATTTCTAATAAATCAAACGCACGTTAAAAAAAACTAAACCCTGTGAAAGCTCTTATAGAGCCGAGGCTTTTTGTGTCCTCAGCTTCCCGAGTTCTGTTGCAAAGCGACTCATGGGATTTCACCAGGATTGTTGGGTATGGTTAAAAAGAAAATGTTAGGAAGGTATGGTAGCTGACAGGAAACTTTATTGGTTCAGATTCTTGCAAATTGTACAGAAATCAAATGTTTTCCTTCAAAAACATGTGTTGAAATTACTGGACATTGTAGGAATGAGTAAGAAGCATCATTTTAACTTCTTTTGCTTTGGTTCTACTTCTGAATTTTTCATCAGCTCTTCTGCACATCAAAATACATATTCTGTCAGAATTCACTGTTGTGGGTTACCAGCTTACAACAATGCTCAGAAGTACTGAATTTGAGGACTGCTTTCCTTGTGTAAGGAGTAGCAAGACTGGGACTTTATGAGAGGAAAATAAATTATGGGGATATTAGGTTAAGACAGTTTTCAACGGAATGCATAACGTCTTCGAGTTTGCTTCCACTGAAATACTTGTTTTTAAATCTGTCGAGTACTTACTGAATTTGACATTCAAAGCCATGCATGCAGTTAACTAAAAATAGAGGAAAATCTCAAAAACATGGTTGGATTCAACACAGGTGCTCGGTTGGCACGAGCCTTCAATTTGCTACCAAATGGATTGCATCAAAGGAGTTATTTTTAAGAAGGGAGTATTAATTTCTTACAACTGAGTGTGCAGGAGAAATAATTGAAGAAGTAGTAGTAGTAGCTGCTTATATTTTAATTGCTCAGCTCTTAAGTCTTTATTATGTGTTTTGTTTAAGCATTCGGTAAAGAAAAAGACAAAGAGAAGAAGTTAGACGATGACAGCAGCAGTACCACAGTTCCTCAGTCAGCTTTCTTGGGCCCAACATTATGGGACAAGACACTGCCATACGACGGAGACACTTTCCAGTTGGAATACATGGACCTGGAAGAATTCCTCTCAGAAAATGGCATTCCACCCAGCCCAAACCAGCACGAGCATAGCCCACACCAGTCAGGTCTCCAGCAAGCTACCTCAGCATCACCTTCTGTCATGGACCTCAGCAGCAGGGCTTCTACTTCAGTCCATCCAGGCATGGTGTCGCAGAACTGCATGCAGAGCCCGGTCAGACCAGGTAAATAAGCCCTAAGAACTTCCTGTGGATTTTGGCATGAGTCCTCCTCCTCCCCATGAGGAGTAAATCATTACTTCTCCCTGTATGGTTGATAGGCAGCTTAGAGAGGGCCGATACGATTAGAGTCACTCTCACTCCAAGAAATAAAAATAATAGCTCTAGTTATTGCTAAGTTGCTCCACCAGGATTTTTCCTTAAATTATATAAGGAAGCTGTGGGGAATTCCAAGGAAACTTGCCTATCATCTTTTCTTTGTTAGTAGCCTAGCTATTAGGAAATAAACCCCCACCCCGACTGATTAGTAGTGCATGGATACCATGGTGTTAGATGAACTGGGAAAAGGACTGTGAAAGAGAATATTTCTTTGGCCAATATTCAATGTGAGAATGCAGGATTGGGTAATTATTTTGAAGTTAAAACTCAGCAGCAGTGCTTCCTGTTTGAAATTTTGGCTATAATCTTATTCTCAATTGAGCAAAGTAAAATTTGTCACAGTACATGGTGCAGGTACCAGATTTTGGAACTGCGTTACGGTCTTGCTTAAATTAGCATAAACTGAGTGTAACTTTGACCCGAGTTGATAAATTACATCTGTAGTCACCTTAAGCTGTAGGCAAAGAAAACATCATGGAGTCCAAGTTCTGGTTGTAGTGCATGATTCAAACCCGTCTGATGTCAGTGGAAGTCTTCTGTTAGTTTATTAGCACTTGAAATCATCCCTTTAAGAGACACTAGTACAGATCCAGAATAATTGCTCTGGCTTGACACCAGTGTGGCTGAGATCACTGTCAGTGGAATAGCGTCAACATTGAAGTTTGGAAAATGTGGAGCTTTGCTTTTTTTTCCCCTTTAAAAATAAAGTTAAAAAAAAAAAAGACCAAGGGTGACTTATGTATTGTGCTCTTCTGCTCACACAAGGTTTGCTAGAGCAAAGTGTGCTCTTGGGAGCAGGAAACCACTCCTCTCACTTCTGCTTGATCGTTTGCCATGCTCAGCGTGCGAAGTCATTGTCAGAATCATCTGATAAGGAGGCAAAAAAAATAAATAGAAGGACAAAAGTTGTGGAGCAGGATGAAATAGAAAAGTTTTACAAGCCTGTAACATTCCTTTCTCATTAAAAAGAAATAAAACACCCCTCAAAACACCCCAAACCTGTCAACAGACTCTTTGGCCCCCAGTCAGAAGTGTGCGTGTAGTAGTGAATTTCATTTACTTTCTTTGACTTTATGTGGATTTGACTTTGTCTTGTATTTCAGTTTCAAGGCATTTAATAGTTAACTAATAACTTATAAGAATTTCCAAAGTTAAAGTATATTTGGAGTTGGCAAGAGCGAAATATAAAAAACATTGCTTTTTCTGAGGCAGGTTTTAAAAATGGCACATATATGCTGCAACACTTTTTTTGTCGCATATGCACACATAAAATTAAAAGCAGATAATCTGTCCTTGTTCAGTTGTTTGTTTTTTTTCAGAGGAGCCTGGTTATGAGCCAGCCTTTTAACGATCGCCTGTCAGAATTTATTAGCAATTAGCTGTCCACCTGACTTTTCAACTCATTGATTTCTGTCAGTTTTTCCTCAGCTGTTTGCAGCTCAGGGTTACGAACTTTTCTCACTAGAAACTCTGTACGCGTTTTTTACTGTAGTGAAAGAAGCCATGTCTCTTGGGGTAAGATGAAACATCTAAAGTTGCGGATGTTTTTTTCCTATGCCATCTTGCCTTAAGAATAATATACTTTTCTTGTTAAATGTTTTTTAAAAGGGAGCTCGTTCCATTTCTTAAAGCAGTAGTTTCCCCCCCCATATTACAGATAGATACTATGACTTAATAGTAGTCTGGTTTTATCATCGTGTTGTTGACATTTTTATGTGCTGTTGTGTAATAAAAATCTTACTTTGACAGTCTGTTTTGAAGAGAAATTAATCTTAGAATTTAGCATTCAAGCAAATTTAAAAATAAGACAGTATATAGCTAAAACCCCGAATTTTTAGTAAAAGTAAAAATGAGCATTTAAGGTTGTCATAAAAGTGCCAAGGCAAATGTACTGGTTTGAAATGTAGATGTTAGTCTGGAGGTAAATATTAAAATTGTTGTAATGGGGCCTTTAGGTTAATATATCTTAAGATTTTTTAAATGCATTTTTTTAAACTGTACATGAAGAAAGGTTTGGTTTTTTTAATTAGTGTGAACTACCATTGCAGTATGCACACATGGCTGTTGTCATTTGTATTATTGTGATAAAGCCAAGAACAAACAGTATAAAGGGTACATAATTCCATGTGATCTCATTTTTAGGAAAACTGAATTTTTTAGGTGATAGTAATTCTCCTAATATATGTTGTGTTGTGTCTTCTGAATTTTGTCTTCTAATGGAGCATGTGGTCTGTGGCTGAAGGAAGGGTGGAATGCCGTACGGCTGATGTCCCTACTTTACATGGCCCCGCAGCATTTGGCATCAGCGTTATCACGTGCAGTTGGTCAAAACTCCTATACCTGCATGTGCCGTGTATGGGGGAGGACGATGTACACGTGCATGTGAGACGCTGAAAGTGTCTCATGTACGTACGTGGTGTACCGCAGACATAGAGGGTCTATAGAAGAGTGGTATAAGAAGATTTAATGTAGTGTGTTGTGTTGAAATTCAAGCCTTGCCTGTCTTTAGAAGCTCATGGTATTGCCCAAATAACGTGTTTTATCCCATCTCTCGAAGAGAGCTGGAAATGTGCATTGGCATTCACTGAGAAGTGTCATCAGGCTTAGCAGCCTTGACAGTAAATGTGGCATTACAAAATCCTCTCCGATTTTTTTTTCTTAAAGGTAAAAAAAAAAAATTACTTATAAATTTAATTTGATTTTGTATTTCCAGCTTGGATGTTCTGGCTGATGGAAAAAAGTTTGGGCTCACCAGTTTATCATCTGTTCTCTGGACTATAGCAAAGAATAAAGCAAGCACCTACTTTCCCATAAATTCCTGTTTGGGGAATGTACACATAGCAAAGACTGGTTTTCTTTTGAAGAGCAGAGATGCAGGGTAATGGCTGTTGCAAGACGTATCCGATGTATTTCTTTTTCACAGTACCAATTTTGTTGATAAACAGTAGTATTTTGATTTTATTTTAGCATTGCAGACCACCATTCACTGTACTGTGTAGATGCATTTAAAACTTCTTTTCTTTCCCTGGATTGATTGCTGGTTAGTTGGTTGAAATCTGTGGTCTCTCTCAGAAAAAGAGGTTTTATAAAGCTAACTTTTAAAGTAACCTATTACTGCAAACACATTTTCATGGTTCTTCATTTGTCTTTTTCCGTTTCTTTTGGTGGAATGTAAATCTCCATTTAACTGCAGAGTCCTTTAAGGAAATTGAGAGTATCTGTAGCTGTTTGTATGTAACGGGAGGTTCACATTTTGCAGGTCACTTGGTGGTGATTGCTTTTACCTGGCTCTTTTCCCCCTGCAGCCCTTATTTGAGTGAATGGGGCAGCTACTGTAAGAGCTTTCAAGGGAGTGAATTAGAATTCAGAGACATCAGCTAGGTCTGGTGGAAGACCCTAGTTAGGAGATTTTTGGGATTTTCGTGGTTTAGATCAAAATTTTCCAAACTTACACCAAAGCCATGGGTGCAGGGTTATGTCATGGATGCTCCTGACACAGCGGTAGCCCCTGTTTCGTTACTGCCCTGCTCCTTAAGAAGGATAGGGCTGTTGGAGGCTTTGAAAAAACTCCCTCATTCTCTGCGTTCCTGTGACGGTGGTTTTTAGGCTGTGTTGCCTGGATGGCTGGGTGCCTTAGACTACTTGCAAAGGATCTGCCAAAGATTATTTAAGGAAAGAGAAGAAGAAAAATGAGCTTTGTTATCTGCTGTGAAAATACACGTGCAGTATCTGCAAGTCTTCACTTTCAGTTAAAAAAAAAAAGATTTAGAGGTGCCTTAATCAAAAAGCTGAAAACTGTTTCCATTTGGAGTGGACTTACACCTCCCACCCCCTTAAGAACACAAAGATTTTATTAAATGCCACGTTTTATTTATTCAGCCGAGACTCCTCATGTAGAGCACGGTATCCATTACCTTTTTTCTTCTCGCATAGATACTGAACTGCAGTGATTGATGCTAGGCGTGATTGGGTGGTTTTTGGCGTTTTCTTTTAACTCTTGTTTGTGATAGGCACAGCAGCCAACTGGGAGAGGTTTGTTCTTGCTCCATCCAGCCTCCCAGCTGCATACTGGGGATGACTTGGTGAAGGGGGCAGCCCACAAAAGGGTGTGGGTGCAACACTCCCTTTATTGCAGTCTTCCTTCCCTTGTGTTTCTTAACGTGACCTCTTCCAGCACAGCCTTTGTAGTGTGAAGGGCAGCATTCCCAGCTGCCAGCCTGTGTGTGGAATGCTCTCTTCAGCTTTAATCATTGTTTACAAGCAGTTACTAGGTGCTGCACGAGCCACAGCACAAGCCCCCTCTCGCAGAGTCCAAGGGCTCTACCTCCAGCACCAAGAGAAGCTGGGGAATCTCCTGACCCTTGTTCTCCCACGTGACGAGATGGGAATGACCGGCTAAACCTCAGGCAGGCTGGTACCAGAGCTGCTCTTCACATTGACTCTCACGTGAGGCTCTGGGTGGCTGCTGTCTGCATGACCATGTGCTTAGGCACGTGGCCGTCCCCTGTGCAGCCTGCTCAGCGTGGCTTTTTTGCTAGAGCAGCAGGCACGCACGCACGGCTGTGTGCTCCTGCCATTACCAGCCGATGCCGAAATTGCAGTGAAATGGAAAAGCTTCGCTCCGGACTGCCACGGCAAGGGGAATGCGATATGCAGACAAGCCTCACAAAACTGCTTTCTGGATCAAAGGAAGATGTAAAATATATTCAGGCAAATATTAAAAATAGCCTGTCACATGATAACGGAGTAAAAAAGTGCTGAATGCACGAGCCTTCTTAATGCTAGAAGCAAGAACACTGTGTCTCCTCCAAGAGGTCTCATTTTAATATTCACTGTTAAATGTTGATTATTGGTT